ATCTTGTCATATCTCGTCTTGCTAGATCTGACGTTCGATTGTGGACAGTTCCGAACTCCATGGACTGGATCTCCCGCCGAAATTCTTCCGCCCCGCCCAAACCACAGCCCACACAAGTGTCTTCAAGTGGTGCTGATTTTGCAGCTGATTCGGAACCCGACCCTGCAGAAAGCTGCTTGCAGGCGAAGTCACTCCCCATGGAATAAAGATGTTCAGGAACATTGGCACAATGTTCATTCGCCTTGGAGGCGGACAGTCGTCTTCTCGAAGTCGAGAAGAATGTCCAGAGCTCTCTGTTTTAAGACTTTAAGAGAAAACCAAGGTACATACTCCTCATGCCTGGACTCTAGTAGCTTGGCTTGGGCTCTAGTTACTTCAGTTGTTCCACCGCGTCTCCTTCCATGCTTTGGTCGTTCTCACAGCCTATCACAGCCGAAAAACAACACGCTGAAAAACATATTCTGTGGCGCAGGCATTCGGTGGCCGGGGGAGAAGAGTGCAGGCGGCTTCTGAGCACGGGGTGGTTTCTGCTCCGTTGGCGGTCATTTGTTTCATGTTCTATCATGTTCTCGAGTAGTCTTTGGAGTCTTCACAACTAAAAGCCTACAAAAACAGCAGCGGATGGGCCCATGGCTGACCTGGATCTATTCTCAGATCCACTGGGAGAGCAGATCTTTCTCAGGAACCTCATCCCCTGCAAATAAGGAGTGCTTCGAACGGCGGGGCTGAAAGGAGGCCAGTCGGTTGTTGGTTCCGAACCTCCTCCGTGCGGCCACATGGCAACAGTCACATCTCTGCAGATGAGTTTGATGAGTTTTGGTGGATTTGGGACATCGAGTGGCAGCGAGTGGCCCCCTCCTGACCAGTGGTATCCATCCCTCCCTGGCCTCGCCACTTGCAATGGCCGTGTCCCTGGTCGCGCTCGCAGTGACGGAAACACGGAGAGCGCACCTTGAGCAGTGGGGTGACCTCTGCCGCGTCCATTCTTTGTTCTCCATACCTGGCCGAGGAGTCTCAAGTCCCCCGCTTCTATCAGGAAGGCCTGCGAAGCCTCTTTAGGTGACCTCTGCAGGATCTGGATATCCACGTGTTCTGGAGCTATCTTGCAACCTCAGCCTTTGGTGATACCTCAGTCGGAGGCCTTCCAAGACCACACGGAAGGCCTAGAAGACCGCAGAAACCGCGGTTGAAACACTGCGCGAGGCGAGAGATCGAAAACCACTGGCACTCCGGTGATCCTGGCGCTTCACACATCCGAACACCGGAATTGTTCTGAAGATGAGAGGACCACAAATGTCGAACCCACCACCAGGTGTTCATCTCTGTCTAGTGCATGCGTGCTATGTCTGGATCATTTCTAGATAGAGAGGAAAAAGAGAAAACGCCCCCCAAAAAAGAAGATATATATATATATATAAACACCAAAAAGTTTGAAGAAGTTGGAGTTGGGACGCCCAACACTTCTCCAACTTCTCCATCTTCTCATACCCCTCCTGCTCAGTCCGTGCGTCCGTGCCCCGTCCACCAGGCGCGCTGGGCGTCCCGACATCGGGTCCGGGACTCGCAGGTCAGATGTGACACCTCATGGGCGATGCGTGGGGGGCTGGAAAGACCTACACTTCCCTGGGAACTAACCTGGATGTGGATGGCAGGGCCCCAAGTTCGGAAGACCATGCCATCCACTACAAACAGGTGGTGGTTTTCCACTTCCATGGTAGTTTCAGGATGTTCCAGGGAGAGTCAATCTAACCGCGGCCGAACTTGATTCTGACTGGTTTCAACGCATTTTATTGGGCTCTGCCACGGAAACGGGGAAGTGCAAGAACTCCTTGGACCTAGCTGGTAGGGGAAACTTCTCGTCCAGTCTGCAGGAGGGTAGCTGCAAACATCTCCAAACACCTGACCCCGGCTGCTGACCCCGGCAGCTCGCGAGCCTGGAGACCCGGCAGGGATTCACTAACGGAACAACCTTGAGCCAATGGCTCTGCCTTCGAGAAGGCCTCTCAGTCAGGAAGCAATCAAACATCGAAGAGCTAGAATAACATGTCTCATTTGGTATCAACCTGTTGAACCTGCTGACCTTCCTACAGACCATGCACGTGGTGGCAATCGGAGCTGAACAAACTGCAATGCAGGCTGTCTACAATTTCCAAATTACCTTCCGGCAAAACCCCGCTCAACAGGTTGTGCTTCCTGACCTTTGCCTCCAAACGATGCTGCCACGTGAGTGGCCGTTGGCACGTATGTGCATCTCATTCCGGCAAGTCAATAAGTACTTGAGGACACCAGATCTGGAGAACACCAGATCTGGAGAATACATGAGAATACCAGACGAAGACTGAGTGACTTGCAGTGATCACAAGAAAGGCCGGAAAAGTACAATCCGTCTAATGTTCATGGTGGGTTTTCAATCCCCCCATGTGAACAGTCAACTTGAAATATGTATTGAAACTTGTTACTGTTGATTGGGCCCAGATAGAAACATCCCAAAAAGGCACCATCTCGCCAGCCTCGAAAGGCAGCGCGGCCCCGCGCCCCGCCAACGCGGTCGAATCTCTCTGTCCATTCTTTCGAACTCTCGCGGTTCATTTGGAGGGCCAAATGTTCATTGTACACGTCTTGGCGCCTCCAAGTGATAGTCTGGCCATGCAGGGTAGAGCGATCTTTTAGAGCCTGAGACGAGTAGCAACCGCCGAAGATTTTCGGTCGGTCAGCTTTGGGTTTGGGCAGTGGGTTTTGTTGAGTTGTGGAGCTTCAAGAAAACAAACGACAAACGATGAGCTTATGAGGGGGGTCAGTCAAAGCCACTCGTGCAGTCAAAGCCACTCGGCTTGACTCCATCAAGCCCTGACTACAGTATTTTAATGGTCAGAGTGGCTGACAGTTTCTGCCATGCCATTCGGGATACGGATCCTGTGACGAGCACTTCTTGATTTAAACTTTCACAACCGCCGATGATCATGAAAAAAGACTTGCTGGAAACAAGTGGGAACCTCCAAATGCATCCTCTTACCTTGCACCTTGCACAAGCATGTCATGATGTCGTAAAATACGTCTGGCAGACCGCAATCACACGGTGTTCAGCGCGTTCAGTACGAAGAGGAATCATGAGGAACCAAGGTCAAATGTCTTACTTTCTGACTCCCTCAGTTTGCCTGGAAAAAAAGAGCTTAACCTTTTTCACACCCGTGCATTGAGTGGGGAAACCAACCCTCCAAAAAGGTTTTGCAGGCCATCCACTTTGCCTGGGTAGGTCAATTCAGGTCAATGTCTTATCTTTGAATTTCCAGGCCCGTCCAATCGTTTGGGGGGAAATGTCGCTGTGGCGGCTGAAGAAAGAACGAATGTACGCTCTGACATCCTCTGACTCACTAACATTAACATGGGAGTGGAAAACGGAACCTGGGATGACTCTTTTCCTCTACGAACAGGACTGTTTGGAGATCCATGTTCGTGAGTTGGAGGATACGTTCTCAAACCTCAACCTAGCCTGCACCGGTGTTGGCATGAATCGCCCAGTGGTTATGGTGATGCTTTGGATTGGGACATGTCTGGAGCTGGATTCGAAGTGCCAGGTAAAGCCCTGGCAACGGCTGTCCACAGGTCCTCAACTAATCTCTGTGCCTAGCACGTCTGAAGAGTAGGCGCCGTTGGGGACTCTGCCGAGACAGTGAGACAGAGTTTTCTTGCCACTGCTGTTGTAAAGCAACACGCTGGTCCACAAGGTCCACCCGCTGGTCCACAAGGTCCACCACCGACCCGTTCAAACGGTCAGACCGGGGGAGACCATGATACGATCTAGCCTATAGCCATATACCGTAGTCATCGGGATTACTCGTCTTCATCTATTGAAACAAAAGCCAGCCCTATTCAGGTAGGTCCCTGCAGGGCCGATTCCACGTCCCTGCAGGGCCGAGGCTGCTCCAAACCAAAACGTTACCGCAGGGATCCAAGAAAGAAACTGGTAGGAACTCACCCAGACACTGAGTGAGTTGACTCACCCAGCCGCTGAGCAAAGACCAGAAATCGCGTTGCACCAATAGTCCGAACAAGGGGCTTGCTTTGTGCTTAATTATTTGGTTCAATGCATCAGCCCTGAGGAGCAGCAAACGCGGCTACCAAATATCGAGTATGAGACAATCGGGGTAGGGGAAAGAGGTTTGGCAGCGCTTATTGATCTGATAGTCCATCTGCAAAATTTTCCTCCACCTCCGATGTGAAATCGTGAGGCGACTGCCTTCACTCGTGTGCTGGTACAAAAACCATCCAAACCCCTCGACCACCTGAATCCGTGTTCGACCACCATGGCGGGTTGCCTTACAGTGACGCCGGGCCGGCACCGCAAGCTGTTCGCGGTGCACTGCGATCACAGAATCCAGCTAGCTTCTCGAAAGCGGAAGGAAGTGAAGGACATAGCCGGTTTTTGAGGTGTCTCATGCAAGTCGGTTCTTTTTTAGGAGGTCTGAGTCTAAAAGGGTTGCTTGAAACACAAGTTAGAATAGGACAGCCAGTCGGATTGGCTGTGCACGTGTAGGCAGGTGTATGCTGCGTAAAGAGCTTCAACTCAGCATGAAGTAGCCACATCCTGTGCCACAGAAGCTCTGCGCCACATGCCAAAATCCCATGAGCCCTCCTTCTCTCAGGATGCTTTTGGCAGGGCAGCAAAAGCGGTCAGCACCAATTCATGGGCTGGTCAAGAGAGTGGTCCCCACAGCATCACCCCAATCAAACCATGGGCCTAAATTGCAATGATAATGATCTGACACCGAGGCACAAATTAGTTGGTTCCCAGTCCAAACAGAAACAGAACAACGTGATAAAGTTGAACACGAATGCACGGTAGGCACGAAAGCGAAACAAACAGCGAACAGGCGTGGTCGAAGAAGGAAAACAGATCTCCTGGCAATTGCGATGAAGCACGCCACAACTTAAAGGTCGACGTCAAGTAGGTAGGAGTTTGTTGCAAATGTGGTGGGTTTGTCATGACAAAGGACACTCATTGCACATGCTCTTCGTGCTGGTTGAGAGCGTTCTAAAAACCCAACGTGTTCGCGTTGAGACCACCCAGGGTCGGGATAGGAATCCCGAACCGTGGGATCAAAGCTGTGACCATCTCGCTGGAGCCAGTCCATGAACCAAATGGCCCCGGTGCTCCCCCCAGTGGTGAGAGTGCCCTCTCAGTGTTTGCCCGACCTCAGTGTTTGGCGCAAAGAAAGACGCGGGGTGGAGGGGAGATGAGGGGAGCATCTGTGCAAAAACGGGCCGCAAGACCCCAGGTCAAATGGGAGAGGCCCTCTGCAAACACTTGTAGCTAGTGAAGTCCTTCTTCCAGCTGAACAAAGAACCCCCCGAGTAATACTGCAACAATCTGCAACAAAGTCCTCCACCGTCTGAGCAGTGCTTCCTTTGCTGCCGTTCTGTCAGACAGGCCACCAATCCACCCGCATGCCGAAAGCCGAAAGCCGAAAGCTGCTCAACTGCCGATGCCCTGAGCTCCCCGACGTGGAGTGCGACTTCACATCACATTTGGGAATCTGGCCAACACTTCCGTCCTGAAGAGCCGAGTCGTAGCGAGACTCGCTCTATGGGTCTTGGGCATGTGGCGAAGGAACTCGGCGAGACCCTTGTGGCCAGTTCGATCTGAGTACAGTGCCAGGCGTGTTGCCATGCACTTCTCCACGTTCTTTTTCAGCACCTGAACAGCCTCAACGGAGTGGAGAATGTGAATACGAACAGTCGACGAAGACAGCGACCGCTTCCTTGACGCCAGCCAGCCAGTCAGGCGGTGTCTCTGAGTAAGTCTGCGACGGAGGCATCATCGTAATTGGTGAACCACACCTGCCCAGGAACGTGCCGCATAACCCTGTGCCACAGGATGCCTGGTTCGATCTGGTTCGCAGTACTTACTCAAATATTATATACTCATCATCTAGTCTCTTTACTTGTTCGGGACTTGTCAAGCCTCTCTTTTCCTTGTGAGGTCCTCTTACCTTCTGCGCTCCCCAGTGTTTAGCACCGAGGATTCACGCTTGAATTTCACCCGTCGCCGTATCCTCATGATGCCAAAACAAGGTGTCAAAGGCCCTCATCGTCCTGTTTTGGGGTGCTGGGGTCCATTTGAGTTCCAATGACTTCATGTGAACGACCCACCAGAGTTCCTTTTGGTCGGTCGACCCCAACTCTCAGGTCGCTCCCTTGGACGCCACGCCGAACACCCGGCCGCTCCCGGCCCTTCGCTCCCGGGCGCCCAGGCCGCGCCTCCAGGCGAATCACGCCGGCGGCCCTCGGACCAGAGAGCTTGTCCACCTAGTGGCGCATGTGTCAGCGGCCACGCGGGCGGGGTGAATACAACATCGATGCACCAATTATAAGCGAAGAGGTTGCTGGATCTTGTACGAGGTAGCCAGCTCATCTGGGTGGATGGCTTCTCACCCAAGATTCCGTGGAAAACGAAGGTGCAGCCGTTTCCACCGGTCGACATCGAGTAAGAGGCCTCAAGATATGTTGGCTAACACTAGCATCTGAGGTTCTGGGTTTATGATGGCTTATGTACCAGTAGTTGTTTTTGGCCTGGCTGATTGGATTATATGTGTTGATTCACAATGCCGTGGGCTTCCCCATGCCAAGAGCTGTGAGCCCATATCATGGGAGCAAGGTGAATCCTCCAAAAAGGCTAAACGTCATCCATTGACTGTGCAGGACTTGCTGCGATGATCCACGAGTCTACGACCTTCACCTCTGTCTCTGCAGCGGCCATCCGCCACTGTGGGCCGTGCCAGGAACAAACAAGGACTTTCTGACATAGTGAATCTATGTTCGAACGGTTTCGCATATAGTCCGGCTGAAACTGTCCAAACATGTCCAAACTCCCAGGCAAAATGCTGAGCAATGTTCTTTTGAGCAGAACATGACCAACAGAATTCTTTTGAGGCACGACCGAAGCCGCGTGTCCTCATCCATCAACCATCCTACGCCTTGAACTCCTCTCCCTTCGTCTGAGTCGTGCCACCAATCGGAGCCCTGTGATCATGTTGGCCGGTTCAATGGTCGCACCGATCATCCCCAATACCAAGTTGTTCCTGGGGCCGGACCGAGCGGCGGTCGCGCGGTCGCGCTGGGGGGGGAGCGGCCAAAGGCGCCGTCATTGGATGAAGGCGGTGACCATCTGAGTGTGATGAAACAAGGAACCAAATGGAGAAATAGGGTCTAGAGATGTCTAGAGGGTGTGTTTGGGATGTTCGTTTCATGCATGAGACTTGCGAGGGGTCCCTTCCCAGTCAGCCGCAGGATTTGCTGGGATGGATGGGACATGGAACTGAAGACGGCTCCGTAGCCCAACCCCTGCAGATAGCTGAGGGCACGGCCAATACTCATCCACCTGGCTTAACACTAAAACCAAACGAACATGCGAAAAAGATACCATTTGCGCGATGGCATTGGGTCATCGACCCTCGGACTCGGGGGTGTGCAAGCGCCATCAACTGAGGGGAGGGCATCTCCGCCCAGCACTTGGCGAGGCCATGGGCTGCCATGAGCCGCTCCACCCTTAAAGAAAAAGCCGACACATGCTCCAGCTCCCACGCCTGTCCACCACCAATGTTGGGCTTCAACTGGAATTGAAAGTGCCCTCCTTGCGCGTTCATCTTGTCCTGCACCCGGCACTGGACGTTTCGAGGAGGGCAGAAGCCCAAGAAGGAAGCCTCTCCTGAACCATTGTGCACGCCTCCCATACGGCGCCACTGAGTTCAGAGCTCTTCAGCCCAAAAAAGTCACCCAGAACCACTGTCAGAAGAAAATCTAAAAGACCGCATCTGGCTTCACCCTCGAGTCCATCGCCATCGCCTTGCATCCCTCGTGTCCATCGACTCATTTCAGCCACCCAGACGGCACGGCGAAGGCACGGCACCTCCCACTCTGGGCGAATGTTCTCCCGGAAAATCATCACGGCGTCGATCACGTGCAACCTCAGCGATGGTCGACGATCCGGTGAAGGTGGCGAAGTTAGCATGGAAGTGGATGGCATGTTCGCCTCTGGAGGGGCGGCCACTTTCCTCGACAAACAACGGGTGAACTCCACTTCCATGTTCGTGAGTCAAAGTGTAGGTGCTCCAAAAGCTATTGGAGACAGGATCCATTCTGTCTGTTACTTGGAGGGTTGATCACTGTTTTGCACACAAAGGGGCCAAATGGATGCCTGCTTACACGGAAATGTGGGCGGCCTGCGTGAAGAACCACTGAATCATGTCTTTGCATGTCTCTGCCTGTACAGTAAGTCTTTGCATTTCTCTGCTTGCCTTTTCTTGGAGGGAAGATCCTGAATTCAAAAAAACACGCCTCATTGGTTCAGCTCCGATCCTGTTGGTCCTGCCTCCTTGCAATGTCGCCCGCTGACGTCCTGTTTGAGCCTGGCCACCCGTCCGGCTGTTCACGTACCATCCGCTTCTGCTCCAAGAGTTCGCTCGGTTGGGGCCTCAGGCTCGACCAAAAAAGAAGGTCTTCTTTTAGGAGAATTGGAGAGGATTGGCTTGGTGAGGAAATACAGTAGTTTCGAGACAAATGAAATGACATGGAATTCCGCAATTGAAAATTATAGAAATGGAGAGTGTTACTTCATCCATCTTCATCCAAGCCCCTTTTGCTGAGGAAGCGGGTCTTGCAGCAAGTCTTGCATAGGTCCAGGTTTCATGTGAGCTGGCCAGTGGTGTATCGACACCAGAAATGGGGACCATCAAAAGCAAATCAGCCGGTGCCATTCGACTCGAAACGTCTTCTTTTCGCAGCGCAGAGATTGGGAGCGCCTGCTGAGGGAGAGCAGGGGAAGTGCTATGCCGGTTTTAAGATGCACTTATATTGTTCTTCACGGTTTCCAATACATTTTGAGTGGGGTTTTACTTTTCTCTATCTAACCACGCAAAGCTGCTTGTATACTGCTGCCATCAATGGCCGTCAGTCTTGGACCATGTCTTCTCCCGTTCGGCTCAGATCCATCGAGCGCCCTGGCATATGATTCCAAAGCTTCCAGAAGCTTTGGACCTTGGATCGGGACCGGGACGGCGGTCCGTTTGGACCGTCCTCAACCCGTGGATCACATCGGGCGGGCCTTGCTCCACGGCGCCGAAACTCGAAACTCGGCGAAGGCAAACACGTTCAACCACTGCGTTGTGGAGCGTCAAGAGGCCCCAGATACTGCCGAGAGAAAGCTTTGGGTTTGAATCAGTGCGCCTAGAAGAACATGCTCCATGTTCTCCATGGACGAGTTTATATGACCCGCAGAATGGTGTTTGGCAAAAACTGCTGTTTCCTCGCAAAGTTGGCTACGCGTCCCCAAAAGAAAACTGCACTGCAGTATATAGAGACCTCCTACCCCCGCGATAGCTGCTAGCTTTTACCATCTTTGGGTGAGCCCCTCTTGGCCCGGTGGGACCCGCTGGACCCGCTGAGGCCCTCAGGCCGTCGAGAAGCTCGCCACCTGCGTGTGGGTGGCTCGTAGCGGGCCGTGACAGCAACCAGGACCTTCCCAGTGATCTTTTTGGAGTCCCTAAGTGACCTCAAACCAGGGGATCAAGTTCGGTCACTGGGAAGATCCAGGAAATGAGACTTTCTCTTTTGATGATGATTGGTACCTGTTTGGTTGTCTCCATTGTTCTCTTTCACATCATTTTGACGCCCGATGCCTGAAGGTCATGTACTGGACATTGCCAAACGATTCATCGGGGAGCCCTTGAATTTCGATGGCATGGAAGTGACACAGTGTTAGAATGTCCTTTACTATGGCCTGTTTCCTTTCACAACCCGGCAGTCCACTTCCCTGTTTCATTTTGGAAGCACAATGCACCCCACAACTGTCAACTACAGCTCAGAACCCTTCATCTAAACCAGGTTCTATTCAGAATGATTGAGCGATGGGACCCGACAGCCAACACCCGGTTCCATAGCTCAGCATCTTTGATCTCCTTGCTTCCTCGGATTCCTGCGCCCATTCAATCATATAATTCAATCATTTCGGGGACCCCCCGGCAACCTCCAATCACTCCACTTCGCGGAAACCATCCTTATGGGTAGCATCGGAATAGGCCGAGGACTTGTCGTTGGACTGCATGATCCTCGTTGGACTGCATCGTCAGATGTGATCGTTGTGTGGAAAGCAGGGGCTGTAAGAGTCAAACCCTTCTGCAAATCAATGTCGGCCCTTGAGGCAATAAGTTTCGGGTTTCACGTTCTTGGGATTCAAAACCACCCCAAACGCGAGAAGGTCGCACGTCCAAAACCCAGTCTTCAGGCGAGAGATTGCTTTGACGAGTTCCCCCAACCTCCGGGAGAGATGGCCTCGTCCAAAAGGTTGAGCTTCCCGTCCAAACCCCTCAAACCCCTCACCCCCGCCCACTTCTTCTGGGGCAAAGCTGGAGGAGTTGTTTTCAACAGCAAAAAGCCCCACTTTTCGCTCAGCTGCTGCTCCCAAATGGACCATGTGTAGCGCAAGGGCAAGTCCTCCGCGTGGCTCGTCGGCATGCGTTGGTCACGTCACGGATGTTCACCATGCTGCATTGTGGTTGGGTATATACTGTATATACCTTGGATCCATCCCATATTGGCCAGTAGGGCGCAGCTGGAGATGTCATCAAACTCAAGCCCTTCTTTCGGGAATCACTTCAGCATTTACAAGTATATACCACCACCAGTGATTTGGCATGGAAGACTGCTAAGGGATACATCGGCGCTGAAAAGGCGTGCGTTGGAGAAATAGGAATCGGCATAGCGACCGGGCTTGTCCATCACAAACGTCCCTCAGTTTGTTCGACCTCTCCAGCCATCTCGGCATCTACGAGTACTACACGACTACTACGGAACAGGAGAGGGAGATACAAAGAGTTCGATAGCACACGAGTTCGAGGTGCACCGAATGACAAACCATAGCAATCCAGATCAAAATCCCACGATTTGAGAGTGCGCGCAGCATCGCGCAGCCCCCTCAAGCAACTTCAAAGCAAAAGATCTCAGCTCATCAGTGGAGATATAGGGGTGGGCCCCCCAAACGACTCGTGGTAACGCCCACCCACATGGGTGACTGTCGTCACGGCTATGCACACCCGGCAGAAACCTCTAGTCATCGACCGAGTAGATGATGTCACACCAGCGCTTCAGCAGTCGCACCAGCGGTCCAAACGTGGTTTTGGGGCCAACACGAAACGGCGAACAAATCCGAACAACCAATCAATGATGGCAGATTTCAACATAGATAGGCGATTGAGGGCCTCGTCCTGGAGCTGCCATTGCAGTTCAAAAAATCACAGAGGTTCTCTTACCGCCCTCTGGCTCACACACTGGAGCTAGCTCGTGCTTGCAGTCAGTGATGGTCCATGATGTCTTGGGGCTGCCATTCTGCCACAGACTGATCGGGTTCCAGTTCCAGGAAAACGAGACACTACGTCATCGAGTGGTACTGAGGGCTCAGCATCCTCTTTGGTGCCGAAACATTGCTTAAGGCTTTCCACCGGTTCATGCTTAGTGGGGAAGCCAATTGCCAAAACAGGTTAAGGGTCATTCACTGGCTGAGTAGGATCATGCAGTCCAAAGGCAGCGCGAGCAGTCCTTCTTCAGCATATCATCATTCTCATCAGCACCATCAGTGGTGAACTTCAGGTTGGCGTTGAAGCCTCACATAATCAAAAGTCCAGTTCTATGCCTTCCCCCTGGGTGCCAGATAAGACCGCGCTTCGGCAGTGTCAGTGCTGATCCTCGCAAAAGATCAACAAAGCTGCATTCAAAAAAGCATGACAAAGTGCAGCTTCAACAGTGAGAAAAGAAGTGATATCAAAAACATACAAAAACACACAAGCTCATAAGATGTTGCATTCGGATCTCATCGTATTCCTATTTGGCTGGCTCTTCTCTGAGGCTGAGACTTTCGTTGAAGCTGAGGAATGCCATGCCTGAGACATCCAAAGCACCGTGTACTTTAGCTTGTTGGCCGATGCCAAAGCATAGGACCCAGGGATAGGGAAGGGATAGGCTATTTATATAGACCATGAGACCATCGTTGACCAGTTCAGGTTGCTTGACTCCATACGATTCAAAAAAAAACACACAGGTTGCTTGACTGTCCGGGACATGACAAATGGATTGCTTGAAGGTATCCGTTTTGATCCTTTTTGCATGAGACTTCCAACAGCGGAGTTCGGGGCCATGCACACCAGACTCTACTTTGAGAGTGGGCGTTGGCAACTTGTCCCACTGCGAGGCAGAAACTCTGGGCTCCCTTTGAGGCTGTCTCGTGACAGAACTCACCTGCGTGAAAACTTCAACAAGAAGACTCAGGCTTTGCAAGCTTGGCACCTCTTCCCTACCTTAGCAGCTTAAGCATTCATCGACAACCCGTTACGGTTTGATGGTCAAACCCGCGACTGGCTCGCAGCCCAAACCGCATGGGCTCATGTTCCCGCCATACGCACTACATGTAGTAACTGTAGCCATCCCCCTTGGTCACTGTCTCAGATCAATTCCTCAAGTGGCCCGCCTGCCTCAGCCCCCCCGAGGTCAGACGTCCAAGGCATCAGGGATGACCATTTCAGAGCAATCATACTTCTGGTGACCTGTCCAGTTACTACATGGGCGGCCAACACATGGGAGATGTCCTCGCTCTCATTTCGGCATTTCGATGCCAAAGATCTTTACGACTCAAGATCGAGCACATCTATTCGTCTACAGCACGCAACCCCGAGAAATAGGTTCCTCGACATAGACGTGCTTCTTCCTCTTCTGTCAAACTGATGCCTCAAACTCCTGACACCGGAGCAGTCGTCAGTCGTGAGGTTCAAACATTTTCTCAGTGAGTGGCATTCCTGGACCACGCCCAAACAAGGGGCACCGACCTCTAAATCCTGCCGTTTCTTGGTGCATCTTGACGATGGCAAATGATTGAAAGGGTGGCAAAGTTCATCGATCCCGCTGTCTTGGACGGATCATTTGGTGTTCTTCAAGCATGATGACCTATGGTTCTTACTAGACCCCAAAAAAATTGCAAAAAGACTCAAAGCATGCAGGATTTTCCAAGCCATCAAGGCAAGCACTTCTACCGTTTTTCTATACTAGTGTCAATGATTCTGTGGCACTTGCAAAGCCACAACCCATTGAGCGCCCCATGCGAAAGATCCAGGCGAGAATGTGGTGAAACATGCTGACTGACATTCTCAAATCTCCAGGGTCTGCAATTCACTGAAATCCACCGCCGCACACTGTCGCAAGCTGCCACCGAAAAGGCCCTACGTTGTTCCACTACAGTCGCCACCGCGCACACTGCGGCGCACCACACCGTCCACATGGCCGATGCAACTCATCCAACCATCGCTCACCCTGGAGATTTGAGGAAGCCTCTCACTTGGTCAATCGGGTTGCAAGGTCTTCATTGACGCGTTCCAGCTCCTGGATCCGGTCGCTCTAACGCCGGTGCGGTGCCGGCGGTGCCGGAGGTCCGGAAGAGGCGTCAGCGGAGGTCGGTGCTTGTGGCGAGAAGTGACGAGCACAGCAAGGATTCAAACCTGCCGGAGAAACACATCAGGAAAAAGCCATCCACCATCAGCCGGACGAGGCTGAAAAAAGATTGAAAAAGGATGATAATCTCGAAACACATCTCCTGCTTCTCTCTCTGAAGTCGTTCCACCGTTGAGTGGAGACTTTCGCTTTCTTTTCGCATCTGGGCCACTTGCGCCTCGAGGTTGCCGGGGTACCGAGGTCTCTTCTTATAGAAGAGGGGCCCGAAGGAAACACATGTCACATGAGGTGTTCTATGGAGGTGCTATGCACCAAAAGAACATGCAAAGACTCATACATCGAGTGTTTGCCGTCCTTTCACTGACCCGAAGTCATTCTCCGGGATTGCTTTCTGCTAAGTGAGAGCGTCAGAACTTCTGGTCTACCGTACTCCTTCATTCTCCAACAAACAAACGCCGGCCACTCCGACCGGGTCACCAATGGTGCCAACAACTCCAACTCCCAATGACTACCTCGAAATAGGAAGGTCATGTCGCCCCATGTGTAGTTATGAAACCCGTATTCTCTGCTGGATGCGTGCACATGGGCTTCGGGGTCCCTACAAAATGCCGGGCATGAAAGACCCCTGTCCTGGACAAAATGACCGATATTTTACTGCAAAATGGGGCCCCAAGTGATGACAAATACCTGTAGATTTATCATCCCGAAAATTTGACCATCTCCGTTTGAGCACTTGTTGATTCATCTGAGGGTGGTGGCCTCCAGAAGCCAGAAGCGTGTAAATCTTAGCCTTTGTTTGCCTTCCTGGATCTTTTGGTTGCTGTGCTACGGTTCCAAGAAGGAGATGACAAGGAGGCAAAGTCTGGGCGAATACGTGAGACGTCCAGGGACCCCACGACCATCGCAGTTTGTAAGGAGTCGTGTGAAAATGATGTGTAGTGCCCTGTCGAACTCAACAGGCTAGATAGGAAGTTCTTGAACTCAAATGCCTACTATCAAACAACTACAAGTTCCTTTTACAAAATGAGGTCCAGAGTCCAAACCACAGCATTTGAAGCATGTCAAAACCACTGGATTTTACTACAGGATGGGGTGCATACCGAGGTCAGAAATACTGTCCCGCACAATGCTCAGACCTGCCCCCAAACCAATTCTACTACAGCATATAGTTTATAAGTGCCTCGAGGGATGAAAATCCTAGAACCCCCCCGGGATATGACGCTTGGGCGGACAAATTCGTCACTGACCCCGGTCGCCTTAAGTGCAGGGAGTTCGTCTGACTCTCTATGCGTCTTCTTGACGGCATCTTGAACGACCTGCCACGCTGAACAGCGCTCGAACCGCCCACCGCTGTGTGGGGTACCAAACACCTGCTTCGTTCCATGCGAGATGGGTGGTTTTGAGACCCATCCAGCGATCATGGGCACCCCTATCCTCCAATAGGCACCCCTTCGAAACTGCTGGTTTGGGCTTATGGCTTTCTTGTTCGCAGCGCGCATCTCCTTCTACACCTGTGGTGCACTGGGCCACTGTGTCACCACCAGATCCGAAGGCGGGAGATGCCACACAACATCCCACCACCAGATCTATCCCCCCTGCTGCCTGTTCCAGCACGCCCTGATCGTAGGCTCCGGAGAGAATCTTTCGGAGCCGCCCACGCAACTCCTCCAGCTCTTTCTCCTGAGGTCCCAGTGCCCACCGCTCCGGGGCGAATGCTCCAAGCAGCTTTCCCAACCGAGCTGTCCGAAGATCCCCGCCGGGGGTGAGCCTTTTCTCGCTCGCTTGGCCGAGAGTTGCTGGGCTTGGCGGGGGAGGCTCCCCAATGCATTCCCCTAAAGCCTCTCACTCACCAAGTCTTTCCTGCCACCCCCAGCGCTGCCCACCTCAGCAGGCTTTGTGCCATATGGCACCTGACGTTCGCACAACGAGACACAAATGGCCTCTGAGCACTGTCGATAGGGTCAACGCATGAGGTCCATCGACAAGTGCCACAAAACACGGTGGGCAAGAATCCCACATTTGGTGGTGCCGCGACTTATTTGCGACAAAAAACAGGCCTAATAGAATTTGCCGGGGCGCGTGCGGGACATCTTGCTCCATTCAGAGCCCACTGCCCTGAGAAAAATTAGAACCACCCGGTGCCCCACACGCCCATAGTCTCAATGATCTTCAGTGCAGAATCCACCAAATGCATCCAAGTTTATGCATCCAAATGCATGGCCACGTCTTAAGTCGTCTTCGGGTGGTTGCAGCCAGGCGCCTCCTCAGCCGTCGGGCTAGCCACAGGCGTTGCCTGAGCCACAGACTGGACGAAACAATGCTCGAACTCCTGGATGCCAAGTGAAAGAGATGCTGACTGTTGCAAAGGGATACTGTAATAAAGATGCACCGTGCCCCCCCAATAAAGATAGTGAGTTGAACAGACGTTCAAGCTTTTTCCTGTATGAGACCGGGTACAGCCCCTGCCCCCAAATATCATGGCAGCTAGGAGGCATGTACGCCCTGGCCCCTGACCAACTCATCTTTACCAGCCCTTCCTACGACTCACTTAGCCATCTTCCAAGACACAGAGGGCTCTGCAACGGCAGGTGGTTGCTCCCCCTGCGTCCAGATGCTGGTGATTTGGTGCCAGCAATGAAAAAAGATATCAATGATAAAATCATTGAAATATGCAGTGGTTCACTGGTGCTTGTAGGGCATGGGGAAATGAATCCAAAGCAATAGTTCAGGAATCTGTGGTGGGGATGGTGATGTTGTGAGCCTGCAAATGGGATCAAATGGGAAGAGTACAGATGTGCTCCTGTTCGTCAGGTATGAATCATACCACTACAGTAGCCTCAAGCAGCGCAGCAACCCACCAGCAGAAACAGCAGCAGCAGACCAGCAGCAAACCAGCAGCACACCAGCGGCAGACCAGAAGCAAACCGGCAGCAGACCACCAACACCCCACCCTCTTCCTTATAGCATGAAATACAGAGCTCATCCGAATGCAATTGCTAAAGCACAGAAGGACTCAGCTAGCACGCTAGCTTTCATGACATGAGCCATGCTCGCATCATGTGCTACCGTGAGTGTTCAAACAGTTTGTGCAATGTCGCTTGAACGTCACCTGTGATATTCGTGGAAGGTCAACGAAAAAATGAAAAAATTGATTTAAAAAGCCCTCACTCCCACATGATTGTGAGCCAAAATCCCCAAGCAAATCGCCACACAGCGGCGGGTGAAGAATTTACAGCGGCAGGTAGTGAATTATGGGGTTCATTTCTTGGTGTTCACCGGTTCACCTCACCATCGGGACAAAGGTGAGGAAAACCCTTGGAAACAGATATTCATCGGTGCTTCTTCCACCAGAAATCCAGTAGCCCGCCTTGGGCTGGCCCTCCTGGCAGCAAATTCTGCGTTCAAGTCGCTCGCTTGTAACCCGCAAACATGAACCAAACTT